AATAACCCCGTGTGGTTCAGCAGTAGGTACGGGTTGATTCATGCTTAAACAAGGTCAAGTCTTATGTATGTAACTGCGTTAAATCTTGGAACTAACTATTCCATCCTTTGAAGTGTCTCCAATGTAGCGAGGAGATTAGTAACTATTATCGTGATTGACGGGTACCTTAAATCTAAGGACAGTAACAGGGACATAGGGACACTCATTATGTGGGCAAGTTCCAAAACGGCAAGTCTGGCTTTGGCTTCAGACCTTCCTATGGTATTTTTGGTAAAGTCCTTCTTCATCTCACCTATTTCCTGCACCTCACCCATTATGGATCTTTTTATTCTACTCTTCAATGTTTCTACAAGATAAGAGACCACACTAATTATAGAATTACTAATACATACTATAACCGATTGCTAAATTAAATATTGAGAATGGAATAAAAATAAAGTCATTTTTTCTGGAGCTATTTTTTTATTAAAAAGATTACTTAATTTAATATGGGTTTAGCTTTTCTTAGATGGAAAGGATGATTTCTTCTTGTGTATTGATTAATGATTTGTACCAAGTACACAAGTAAAGTTTTGATGACGCTGGAGAAGATCTTTTCTCAAATATGGTTATTGATTTTTATATGTTTTGTTCTCTGATGAAAAACTAAATTAGATGAGATATATTTAATTATCACACATTGGCTCTATAAACTATTACCCACAGCTTTTTATACGTCGATTAAAAAATGGGCATTCAACATCAACTACAAAATCAACTATATTTCTACCCTGCCTTAAGACAAGATTTCCAGCCATGAAAGCACAACAATATGAAGTGGGGTGTTGCATTACCTGCCCAATTTGTATACAATACCCAACAATTAATGTTAGTGTCTTCTCTATCAATGCAAACGGATCCTTTCATTAAGGAATGAAGTTAAGGATTTGGCATACAACATATATAAAAAATGATATATCAAGTTTAATCATGATCAAATAATCTAATCTTCCTACCAATCTTTGACATATTCTTCGATCAGAATAAGGTCCCCTATAATTGGGAGGAAAATCTAGTTTAGGATCCATATAAGAGTGTCAAGTAGCTTGCGATCTATAAGGCATACTTTCTGAGAAATAATTTAGTGAAATTGAGTGTGATTTAGGAAGGGATTAGTCCCCCAATTACATGGCAAACCAAGGTTCAAATTCTCGCTGGGGAGATATTCACATTTACACTATGTTCGGTGTTAGGAAAAAAGAGAAAGAAAAAAAAAATAGTGAAAAGTGAAATGAATTTTTAGGTTATTCAATTTGATAAAAAGTAAAAGGAAAGAAAAGTATGTATGTTGAAAATTAATAACAATAAAAAATTATATAAAAATTGATATTTTTGTCTTTATACTTTTTTAGAGCTTCTTTCTCTATTTTCTTTTCAATTTGGGATCATTAACTTTTTTTGGCGGTCCCATTAAAATATATTTTTTTTCGAGTGCATTTTAACATTACAACACAAGAGAAAGATTATAATTTAAGATGTTTTCTTTTCATCATCAATCATCTCCCATCCCTTTTAGATTATATTTGGTGCTTAACCTCGCATTGAACAATAACCTTCTTTTTAAGGAACATACATGCGGAAAAAAAAAATTAAAGATCAATGAGTTACTAACACTTATCTTTTAAATACAATTTGTTTTTTTTTTTATCAACAGATTACGACATACGACATAGTTATGTAAATAACGTTGTCATTTAAATACGTGGTCATGGTTTGATTCTTGAGTTTAAGTATATAGACAAATATTAGTTAAAGAATGTTAGATCCTTAAATGAATTTTTTTTTAGGGATTAGCCTTTGTCTTCCAAACATAAATACCATAGATTCAACATCAACAAAAATTCAACTACATCCACATTGTAAAATTAGTTGTTTAGATTAAGTAATAAGTCACAATAGTCCACTTATAAGTGTTGTTGAAAGGTATTAATAACATTTATTCAATGCTTCAGAGAATATATAAATGATTATTTGTTTAAAGAGAGAAAGTGATGTGTGCCAAAAGGATCTATAAGAGAATTGCTTGTAAAAGAGGTGCATGAAGGGGGTTTAATGGGACACTTTAGGGTACAAAAGAGTTTAGAAATATTACATGAACATTTCTATCGACCACACATGAAACATAATGTGTGTAAGTTTTTGTGACCAATGCATTGTTTGTAGGAAGTCTAAGTTTAATTAATGTCTCATGAGCTTTTTCTCCTTTGTCTATTCTAAATTTTCCTTGTATTGACTTGTCTATGAAATTTTTTTAGGATTGTGTCGAACAAGGAATGACAAGGATTCCATCTTTGTGGTGGTTAGCAGATTCTTTAAGATGGCACATTACATACCATGTAAGAAAGTTGATGATGATTGCCATGTTGTTGACTTGTTCTTTAAGGAAGTGGCGCGCCTCCATGGATTACCAAGAAACGTTATTTTAAATTGTGACACAAAATTTCTTGGTCACTTTTGGAGAACCTTATGGGGTAAGCTAGGCACAAAGCTTCTTTTCTCCATGCACTACATGTCATTCCTGAACCGATGGACAAATTGAGGTAGTAAATAAAACTCTTTCTTTTCTCCTTAGAGTAGTGATATATTAAAAAAAATATAAAGACTTGGGAAGAATATTTATCTCATGTAAAGTTTGCATATAATAAGGTTGTCCATAACGCTACTCAATATTCACCATTTGAATTTGTTTATGGGTTCAATCCCTTAACTCCTCTTCATTTGTTATCATTATGAAACACTTTTGCCTTAAGGCATAGAGATGGTAAAGCTAAGGTTAAATGTGTGAGGAGGTTACATGAACAAGTGAAAGCTGAGAAGAAAATAGAAAGTTTTGCTAAACAAACAAAAAAAGGCAGAAGAGAGGTTGTATTTGAACCTGGTGATTAAGTTTGGGTGCATATGAGAAAATAAAGGTTTCCTTCACCAAGAAAATTCAAGCTTCAACCTTGAAAAAATGGTCTATTCCAAGTTTTGTCTATAATTAATGATAATGCCTACAAAATAGACCTCTTTAGTGAGTATTGTGTAAATGTTACTTTTAATATGATTGATTTGTTCTTATTCGATGTAAGAGATGAGAAACACAACTTGACGACAAATTCCTTTCAAAAAGGAGGGAATAATGAGGACATATGAGGTGACACAACCAAAAAAGACAATCTTAAAGACATAAGATCCAAGGAAATGACAATACCAAAAGATAAAAAGACTAAAGAGACCCTAAGTCACTTAGTAGCCACTTTGAGACAAATTCAAATATAAATTATTATAGTCAAATTGAAGGCCATGAGAATTACATAGGGTTGCAATTTTAATTTGTTCACTTTGGACCCATTTCTAAAGCTAAATAAACATGTATTTTGTTTTAGTTTCTATTCTACTTTGATTTAAGCATTTTTTTATTATTTTAAATACTAACTTCAATTTATAATTGGACTGATTGGATAAATACATTTGGGCTTTTACTAAACCTAGTAGCTTAGGTTGTGACCACATAAAAACACTTCCAAACATATTTTGAAGTAAAGGCATATTGGTTGTGAGATTTTGTTTTCTAGGATTTTTTTTAGAGAATTGACTAGAACTTATCAAGGAAGCTAATCCTTGCAGTATTCAATCTTGACTTATCAATTTTTGATTGTGGTGTCTCTCCTTTCTTTCCATTGTTTCTCTGTTTTTCTTCCTTTTCGCTTAAATCTTACATTTCAGCCAATTTTCTTTGGTTTATATCTCATATTTTATTAATTCTTTTGGGTGATTTATATGCTTAATTTACGTTTCAAAACGAGATATTTCACCATCTATGAAATATAATATTATATATTCAGTGAATAATAGAATGTTCCAAGAAAATTAATATAATCTGATTCATAAAGTTATTTTAAAGTCATATTGCTTTTAAAGTAAATAAGTGTATATTCAATTTTAATTATAGTAAAAACTATAACATGTTTTAAATTAAATCAAAAATACATATACTTATAATTGTTTATTTTAAAGAGCATTCACTTTTTCTTAAAAAAAATTCATAGGTTGAAAAACAAACTAAAATAAATCAATTCAAATTTCAAAATAAAATGACAAATAAATTATGACCCAAGAACTTTTAAACTTCAAGAAAACCTATAAACACGTTGACATATAATAGTAATTTTAAAAAAGATTAACATAAAGTGAATCATTAGAATTTTAGTTTAAGGAAGTAATTTGCCAGTGGTATAAATTTCTTAACTTTTGAATCTTATCAAACACAAGCAATAGTAGGCCAAATGTGGAATTAGTTACTACTTTTAATCTTTATTTTTGGTAATTTCTATTCAATGATAGCAACACCACTACTAATAGAAAACAGAGAGCTATGAATTGTGTCTTGTGAACACAAATGGCAAGCACCCGATATGATTCCTTAAATCGATAGGTACAGTTCCATATGCGTTGTTCCAGTTATGTATCATCTTGTGGACCAACAAAATATAATATATAGTAACAATTTGTCTTGGCGTTTAATGAAGAAAAGAAACAACGGCTAACCTAACATTTCCACTTTCTTTGTTTTATTTTTCCTTAAAGTATATGTCATGTTACTCGTCAATTATCAATCATGCATATACACGTCACCGTGTTTTTTTTTTTCACCGTTACATAACATAATTAATAAGTAGTAAAATATAGAATTTTTTGTTATTATTTTTAAAATTTAAGAAAATAAAATATGTTATACATTTTCATGTTTCAACCTTAAGGTACTAATAAATATTTTCACACTTTTTTTTGGTGGAATAAATAAATGGTTTCACACTTAACTTATGAACATAGAGACCCCCCTTTTTTTCGTAAACTTCACTTTAATTGGGAATGGAGGGAAATAATTTAGTGCCCCACGACCTTAGGACTAGGAGTGTGCATGTTACTGTTAAGCGCAACTTAGCATTTTTTTTTTTTTTTTTTTTGGTTTTCATTTTTATTCTTTTAATTAATTAACTCGTACCCCGCTTTGTCGTTCTCTCTATAAAGAGCGACGACAACCACCGCCACCGCAGCATTGCCACCGTAATCGCCACGATCAAAACGGCGTCGTTTTGGACAAGGCGTGGAGATTCATTGCGGCATTCAATTCAATTCCACGCACTCGTGCAGTTAGCGCCAGATTCACATTTCACGCAACTTAGGTACCTTCATTTCCTCCAATTGAAGCTTCGTTGCAATTTTAGAGGGAAAATTCCCTATTGTACCTGCTACAGCTTCAATTTTCGGTGCCTTAATTAACTTTTCTCGAGACAAAGCGCGGATTGTCGTTTTCATGATTGATGCGAGGCTTTTCTTCTGCTCACTTTCCCCGTTCTCGGAATTTGCACTAGACGCCCGAATCGGATAACCGATGAGGGTGGGGATTTCGATTCGGGTGAGGATTAGGGTTTTCGGGGAAGGTTTTAGGGATTTGTAGGGTTTAAGTATGTTATAGCTGGTGATCTAATTCAAATCAAGGTGTTTCCCCTTCGGGGGATTGATGATGGTAGGTTGAGGATGGTGAGGCTTTTAGGATTGACTCGTGGGGAGGTTGAAGAACCCAGGGAAATTGCTTCCAGGTCCAATTTGACAAGTGAGTCCAGTGAAAATGGGTGGCTCATTAGGTTCTTTGACTCGTCATTCTTCTGTGAGTGGATTGCTGTTAGCTACTTGTACAAGCATGATCACTCCGGGGTGCGTGATTATCTCTGTAATAGAATGTACACCCTTCCCTTGCAGGGGATTGAGAGTTATTTGTTCCAAGTGTGTTACATGATGATACACAAGCCCAGCCCGTCTTTGGATAAGTTTGTTATAGACGTGTGCTCAAAGTCGCTTAAGATTGCTTTGAAGGTGCATTGGTTTGTGTTGGCCGAGCTCGAGGACTCTGATGATAATGAAGGGATTAGTAGGATTCAGGAGAAGTGCCAGATTGCAGCCACCTTGATGGGTGAGTGGCCACCCTTGATACGGCCTCAAAATCCGCCTTCGAGCCCAGGAGGCAAGAACCAAGTTTTGAATAAGATATTTTCCTCGAAACAGCGATTGTTGTCATTAACGTCTTCTCCCACTCCTCAGAAGTCTTTGTCATTCTCACCTTCTTCGGGAAACAATTTGCAAGAAGATGGTAGTCCACAGTCTCCAGAGGAAAATAAATTATTTAAGAAATTTAGGCCAGGTCCAAAGGTTAGAGATGCTTTACTTTTTAGGAAGTCAGTGGAGAAAGATGATGATGAGTCTGAGAAGGATGGTTTTTTCAAGAGGTTTTTAAGAGATAACAAAGGAGATGAAGAGTTGGGCCAGAAAATTCGCGATGCTTTTCTCTTCCGAAAGTCATCTGAGAAATATGACGAAGATTCTGAAAAGGATAATTTCTTTAAAAGGCTCTTAAGGGATGGTAAAGGGGATGATGAAGAATCTGAAAAGGATGGTTTCTTTAGAAGACTCTTAAGAGACAGTAAAGCTGAGGATGAGGATTTGGCCTCAAGTTCAGAGGGATTCTTTAAGAGATTGTTTCGAGATAGCAAGAATGATTCCGATGATAAAACACACATCAAGACATCAGAGGATGAAGAAAAAGAGGGGTTTTTCCGAAAGTTCTTTAGAGAAAAATTTGAGGAAAAGAAGGATGGGAATGACGAAGGAGATATTGCAAATTCTGAAGAGAAATGTGCAAAGCCTGCTGAAGAGGATGAAAAAGAAGGGTTTTTCAAGAAATTCTTTAAGGATAAATTTGATGATAAGAAAGATCTAAATGATAAAATTGAAGATGGTATAACCAATGTTGAGGAAGAAGAGCCTTCTGATTTTTCTTTGTTCAAAAGAATTTTCCGTGTGCACCCTGAAGATGGTAAAAGTAGTTCTGCCAATGAAAACAATGGTGGGTTGTTTGAAAGTAGTAGTCCAGGTACAGAGAATTTTTTCCGCAAATTGTTTAGAGACCGTGACCGATCAATTGAAGATTCAGAGCTATTGGGGTCAAAAAAACAGAAAGAGGTGTGTTAAATATTTGTTAACAATTAATATTTAATTATTTGTGAATGTAATACATGTTCAGGCACATCAAACATATATATATATATATATATATATATATATATATATTTATATATTTTAATAATACAAATGGCTTAATGCCACTATGACATCATAATACAGATCTAATATTTTACAGTATCTGTCTAGATTTCAACATTGATTACTTTTTTAACAATCACATTATTACCTGCACCCTCCTTATCAATAACTGTCATATGGGCATGGGTGCATGAGATATTGCACACATGATAGTTGCTTGAGACTTGAGAGATGAGTGTATTTGTGGGTTAGAGTTAGAACTTAGGAAGAATAATGCTAGTATTAATGCATTCCGAACTCTGTTTTCATATTCTTCATATTTCTGCTGGTTTAATATTAGATACATGGCAATTTTGGACATATATCATTATGCCTACACTGGATTTTATCATGTTACTCTGGCAGAAGCATCCTGGATCACCAAAACAGCGAAATGAGAAATTAGGAACAAAGCCCCCACTTCCAAGTAATCCATCGCAGTTCCGGAAAGGAGCTTACCATGAGTCATTGGATTTTGTGCTGTCATTATGTGAGACATCATTTGGGTTAGTGGATGTATTTCCTGTTGAAGATCGCAAAAGTGCTCTGCACGAGGTTTATGTCCTTACATTTTTCTTTGATGTTTTCTTTATCTAATTGCCATAGTTAGAGATGGAAATATGTATGTGTTTATAACCTGGTAATGCTTCTGACACATACATATTGTTTGTTATTCTTGTGTTTCAAGTCGCTTGCAGAGATAAATTTACATTTAACAGAGTCTCAGAATACTGGAGGTACTTCTTAACTCCTAATGGTATTATTTTAGTGATGTTAGTTGGACACAATGGATTCACTATTTTGTCATGTTTTTCATCTGAGCATATTTACATGTTGTTGCCAAAGAGTTCTATGAAAATTTTTGGTGGCAGTAATGCCACCTTTTGTGGTGATGGATTAAAGAGCTTACATGTTTATTTTTCTTCCTTGATTGGAATATTAACGTGATAAAATCAAGCAGATAGACTTTTATTATTATTATTTTATCTACTAGAGAAAATGGTGAAATTTTCCATACATCTATCATTGCTTGTTTTTCATTTCTCTCGTAGGATTTCATGTATAAAATCTATCATTTTGGTGTTTACTAGGAGCGTATTAGAGGAGCTGGTGATATACATTTATTATGTAGTGAAAATAGTTGTCTCTCTTGTGTGGTGAGCTATGAAGCACCTAGACATTTATGAAATACACATTTACAGAATGTCATGTCAGCATGTCCAAGTTTGACACGACATTTGTCATTTTGGTGTTTACTAGGAGCCTATTAGAGGAGCTGGTGATATACATTTATTATGTAGTGAAAATAGTTGTCTCTCTTGTGTGGTGAGCTATGAAGCACCTAGACATTTACGAAATACACATTTACAGAATGTCATGTCAGCATGTCCGAGTTTGACACGACATTTGTCAAACACGCCATGACATGCGTTCAATACATTTACATCATATTGCAATTAAAAATGATTATTTTTTTTGGTTTGGACACCTCTTTGTCACAACTTTAAAACCTTTTTTACACGAATTGAACACATACTAAGAGAGAGAGTTGACTCTTGCTCTTAGCTAAACACATATCTAACACTCCTATTGTAAGAAAATTTAAAAAGTCAACTTATTTATAAATATTGCAAGGCTCGTAGCATTTTTTTTATCTATCGTGGGGCTCATTTTTATAAGAATTACTCAATATTTTAACTTTAAAGTGATATGCTTCATTTTCTAAGAGTTATCATATAAAAATTGTTAAACTTATAGTCTTATCCCGGTGTCCATGTCGTGTCAAGTATCCGTGTTGGAGTCAGTGCTTCATAGGTGGTGAGCCCATTTGGATTGTTGGAAAGGAGTGAAATGGATTGATACCTAATTCCATTGTTAGAATTGCTTAAAATAGGATGAAATGGAGCAGAACATGATGAACGCATTCCATTTTATTCCATTAAATATCCCTTTTTATCCTTTCCTTCTAATTTATGGGATATCGAGTGAATGCCTTCCCTTTTTCTTTTTCACCATGAAAATATCTTAACAATGGAATAATAACTTTTTTTGTTCCTCAGCCATAGAGGCTGTAATGACCCCTTGAGAGGCTTAAAAGACCCTTTTCCCTATTTTTGCCATTTTATAATATCAACTTTGCAACCTTAGTGCTGTAGCACTTTATTCCCATGCTGATTCTAGGTGTTCAGAGAGAGATTTTGTGCCCAGTTTCCAGTGTCATGGCCTCACAATTCCAGCACCATGGCATTGGATATTAAAAGAGTAATCCAGGCTTTAATCCAATCCTATGAATCTTCATTGCTATTGCCTATGGCATTGAATCATGCTTCTTCCCTTTTCTTTGATAATGAGCTTTCTTGAACACCTGGAGCAAGTAATAAATTCAAAGCATTGAAGATCTAACTTATGACAATGAAAATATTAACAAAAGAACTATAGCTTAAAAATTAGACAAATCAAACAACTACAATAAGTCAATAACTAATGAAAACATGCCCAAAATCTGATTACTAAGCATGAATTGTCATCTTTGAACCTAATTCTCATATGCAAAATGACCAAAAGTTATAACTTAACATATTCCATTCCAGTCATCATTAGATATCCAAACATTACCTAAAAATATGCACGTTTTGGACTATCCATTATGTTCACTGCATTCCCCCCTTTGCTTATAGCTTTCATTTATTCCCTTGCTTGTATATGAGTCTTGCTTTTCCTATATTCCTAGGAGTTTGTTTTCCATTGGGAAAGGGCATGTATCGTGTGATTCATATACCTGAAGATGAAGCTGTTCTCTTGAATTCTAGGGAGAAGGCACCTTACCTGATTTGTGTTGAAGTTTTGAGATGTGAAATGCCAAGGTATTACTTGGATAATAATCCTTGCATGTTGAAGAAAATAGTGCACTTAGTAAAATGCAAACCATATTTCTGATATATTGCCCTTCCTGCAAAACATTTATTATAGCAATTCCAAGGAGACATCTAGTTCTCAGAAACTTTCTAAAGGTGGGATTCCTTTGGCAAATGGAGATGCTTTCTTGCAAAAACCGCCCCCTTGGGCATATCCATTATGGACTGCACAAGAAGCATATCGCAATAGCAATGACAGAATGTCCAGATCAACTGCTGAGGCTATTGACCAGGCAATGACTCATGTGCCTGATGCAAAAGTCAAATTTGTTAGTGTGAATCTTTCTGTTGAAGCACAACTACATGGTCGGCCAGAGAAGGCCAAAGCAGATCTACATGGTGGCAATTGGCATCCTGCTTCAGTTTACAGAGATGGTATACAAGAAGTGGCAAGGCCAGGACATGACAGTGATATGGAGTGGGTAAGGGTAGTGTTGAAAGTTGATCCTGGGGTTAAAATGGAAGATATTGAGGATCAAGCACCAAGGCGGCGGAAGGAACATCGTCGTGTTCCAAGTACAGTGGCAATAGAGGAAGTAAAGGTGAGTTTTTGAATGTTGTTTAGGGAATATAGATGCTGCTATTCCATTACATGGTAATATAATCAAGAACATGAAACATTAATCTATGCATACAAGCAGAACATAGGTTGTTGGTAAAAGTATGGGTTATGTAAAGTCATTCTGTTTGGTAAAAGATTCTGCTTTTCACACCATTACATGTAGTATGTGTTTGGATTGTGGACTATTTTTTGAGATTATTTCAATGATTGATTATAAATATAATATTGTTATAACTTATAATCAATTATGTGAAAATTTTCTATGTTTAAATGTGTTGGTGAAGAGTAGTTTTAGAATAATCTATTTTGTTTGTTGTCTATAATAATTGATAATTGATTTTTATAGTAAAATTACCAACAAAAAAAAAGGGTATGAAGTTTTTTATCATAAAGGGTATGAAGTTATTTGTCTGCAGAGACACATCCACCTCTACTAGTGTCAGGGCAAATGCACCCCGCTAACGTTTTGATATTCAATCTTTTTATATAAATATTTTAATAAAGTGTAACAACTTAACATCTTAAAAATTAAGTGTCCCCACTATTGTCTATTCTTGTGTTTTAATTTTGTAAAAAAAGTCAAAGTTAATATATTTATATTTTTTATAGTATCTATACTGTTAATAAGGGGATATCTCTTTTTATTATACACAAATTTTAAACTAATTTACTCATATAATTACCTCTTAGCCACTTTTTTTTATTATCTTTTATTTATTTATCCTCTCCTTTTTTTTTTTACTTCAATGACATTCAATTTTCAAACCTTTCACCCTTTAAGTAATTATTCATTATCTTTTTATTTTTAAATAGAGAGACACAAAGTGTCTTTTTTCTCCCTAGTATGTATAATATGCAATATTAATTATTTTTAAGTAAAGGAGTGATGGATGGCCCAACCAAACCCATGTACTATTTTTGAAAGGAAAAAAAAGGTCAAAACTTTGATATGGAAGATGAATGGTTAAATGATTATTTACTTATTTATATAGAGAGATAATTTTGAAAGTTTGAAAATGAGAAAATTATTAAATGTTTTCAAAATATGAAATCTAGTAGAAAGAAATTGTAATGTATATTTATATTTAAAGAAAATGTGAAGTTATATGTTTAATGTGACAAGTTTGAGTATGATTATTGCCTCCACTACTTAAAATTTTTGGATACGTCATTGATTTATATATTTAAGTTAATCAATTGTTAGCGATAAAGTGAGAAAGCAAAAATTAAACAATAATCCGATAGCTTTTAATCAGAATCTCCAAAATCTTGCTCATTTGAAAAAACTTTTTTTCCTTTGTAATTGAAATAATCTTAGATTATTTATAATTTTCACCAGTACTATCAAACAAGAGAGAACAAGATTATATATATATATATATATTGAAATAGATCATAATCTCTACAACTAATCCAATCTAAACATATACATAATATAAATATATGATAGGTGTGAATTGGAATTATATCTTATGACAAATTGATTGTTCATGTTTTCATTTGGCATTTCCTGGTTCATAATACTTTTTCTTTTTTGCTAACATTTCAAATATGCTAGGCTGCTGCAGCAAAAGGAGAAGCACCCCTTGGACTCCCTTTGAAAGGTGCCGGCCAAGATTCATCTGAAGCACCACCAAGGGTAAGACAATATTGTTACTAAATTTGTTTAGCCTTAGAAATATGAAGCTGTTATACATGACATGATTCCTCCAAACAGGCTAATGGAATTATCCCCAAAGCTAGTGATGCGTTGTCTGGTGAACTTTGGGAGGTAAAGAAAGAGAGGATACGCCAGGCCTCTATCCATGGGAATTTACCTGGTTGGGACTTGCGATCTGTAAGTATATTTATCAATCTAAATAATATGTTTTGACATTATTTTGGAATGTCATAAAGACCTGAATTTAATATATGTATATATATATATATATATAAAGGAGGCATCAATTTACTTCTAGAGTAGCTTTAAAGAGTTACTCCCCATCCTCACCCATCATCTTTTTTAGGAAGTGTTCGGGAGAAGTTAAGTTTTTTCATGCCCCGGAATTATGATTCCCAAAATGATAAAAATTTGTTTGGTTAGTTATAAATATTCTTGGGAATATTTATATATGTTTCTAAGGAATCAAATATTTTTATGTTTAGTTTTAATAGAACTTGCCTAAATACTTTAATTATGTACCACAATAAATGAGTTAAGGTAATTTGATATTTTTACTACAATAAAAAAAAAAGTTCAACTTGAAAAAGTTGGATTCCCGCCTCTTCTACGAGAACAATTTTGTGGGAAACATAGGTAAAATGATTTCCAGGAAATAATGTTATCTAAGAATGTTATTTTTTAAAATAATAAACTTATCATAGGAAACTAACATTCCCAACTTTAGAAAATAATGTTCTGCAATTGTAAATAACTAAATATGTATGGGTTATAATTTCTAGCAAGATTGAGTATTTTCATATTTTGCACTGTTATACATCATTACATCATATCTTTATAACTCTGTACTGCTTTTAATCCTTTTCTGAAAAATATTGCAGTCAAAGTAATTTCTAAAATATTGAATTCTTTTTCTAAATTTTTTGATTTCCCTTAAGCAAAGAATTATATTCTAGTCTTGTGTATAGAATAATCTCCACTTGGAGAGCCAACCTCCACCATGCTGTGAATGTTCTCAGCTTGAACTGATAGCTTTGCATCGAAGATAATTGTTGTCCTAGACCAAAAAAATGGTTTATAAATTTTGATTTATCCTTGTAAGAATAATCTGAAAAAATTCTACGGCTGTGCAACTGTAAGAAAGTTTGACACCACATTTTGGACAAGCTTGCCTTTTGGATAATACATCATGTTTTGGATTTAGAATTTGGCTCCTCTTCAGTAAAACCATGCAGTATTCAGTGTGATAACCTATTTATTGGTCCCTACAAACAAATAAGCATGCATCTTATCACACTAAATCCAACCTTTGAAATTTACTTTACCAATTTGGCGTGATAACATGATTATTTACTTATATGGACCAATAAATGATTTACTGCAACAAATACTGCATGGTTTTCACTACAAAGGAGTTAGTTTGGCATTGAAGTCTTTTGCTTAGTACAATGGGCCATCCATGAAAAATGTTGTCTATATTGCCAATTGCCATAAATGAAATATTTCTTTCATTCTTTGTGTTTTGTTAGAGATCATGACATACGTCTGTTTAAACAAAACAAAACCTTGATGTTTCCAATTTGATGAAAGCTGCACTATCATATTCATGTCTTTATATATCATTATGGTTTTGGAAAATGTAAATTATGGTTAGTGTTTGTTCTAGACAAGTTATTTGATTATTCTTTTGAGGATGTGTGCTTTAAGATCATAAATCTTTTGATTATGATAGCATAATTTCCCCTTTGACATAGGTTATTGTAAAGAGTGGGGATGATTGTAGGCAGGAGCATCTGGCAGTTCAACTTATTTCACACTTCTATGGTAGGTGGTGGTCTCATTAAGATTTTTCCTTTGTTCCCTCATATTCAGAACTTACCAATTTCTGTTCCAATGTTGTTCATGGTGGTGCAAATAATTTTGACTTTTGCATTCATTTTGTCTTTTGGTGTTTGTTTTCCATAACAATAATATTTATTTATGAATATGGTCAAATAAGATGAATCTTATATTTCCTTGGACCCTGCATAGTGATTGCTTTATGGCACCTGGCTTTTTTAAGATTAATTTTTTTTTTTAATAAATGTTGGTTTATAATTTGCTTATTCATTCATATTATTGAGTGTGCTCTGAATGACTGAAGTGATATTTGTGTACAGTTAAGAACTGGGTTCACGTGTGTGTTCTTCAGACTGATAACCTAGTATTTCGTATCGTTGGTTAGTTATGCTTTCTGCATTCACTATGAGCATAGTATGAATGATGATTTGGGCCTTGTGTAGGGA